AGACCTTTTAATCGTCTCCTTTGCTCTATCCATAGCCTCATAAATATATCCCATTGCAGGCTTATTTTCATTATCCACCAACCAAAGGACTTGAACAAGAGGGCCCATTTCCTTTAATGTATAAACTACATGATTCCAAAAGGATGACATTAAGATGATATCAATAGCCCTCTTGCCTTTTGCTTCTTTTGCCCATTGGCTTGTCACCCATTTCTCAGAGGTAAACATGTTTCTTATATTATGTTTTTGACGATGCACGCTCTGTAATGTCAAGAATAAAGTAGCAAATTGGGTGACACTATATCTCACTAATTCTTTATTTCCTGTAAATTCTCCCATCATATTCAAAGACCCAATATGATTATAAAGAAACTAACAACAAAAATTGTCCTTTCTAGGGTTTTCTTGATGTCTAAGATCTTTCCAATATCCTCCAACATTAAATCAATACAATGTGCTGCATATGGAGTCCAATATAAGTGTTGTCTTTTTGTTTCAAGCAATTTACCTGAGACAAAGGATAACAAAAATGATAAGACTTAAGATTTTAACACATTTAATTGAAGATAAAATAATTAAAAAATTCAAAAGAAGAATATTATCGGCTAATACATAGTTGCTTCCATTGTCGGTTATGATTTGAACGACATTTTGTTCTCCAATTTCTTCCATGAAGTTGTCAAGTAAATTATATATCTTATCTCCAGATTTTACAAAAGATGAATCATCTATTGACTTCACAAACATAGTCCCTAAAGAGCAATTAACCATAAAATTAATTATACTCCTGCGCCTTCTGTCAGTTCAAACATCTGACATAATAGAGCAACCATGTGTTGCCCATGATTCTTTATGACCCTTTAGTAAGTCATTTGTATAATTCAACTCTTTTTGCAATAATGGAACTCGCATCTCATAATAATTTGGAGGTTTTAATCCCGCACCATATCTTCCAATAGCTTCAATCATATCCTTAAAACTGTCTAAACGAGTTGTACTAAGGGGAAGATCAGCCTGATAGAAGAAGCGAGCAATGTGCTTAATTGTTCTTCCTTTTATTTCTTTATCACAAGCATCACTTATATTTGTTTGTCTAAATTTTGAGCCTCCTGCTTGCCCTTGTTGCTTCTGGGATCCTTGAAACATATATAGATCCATCGGTCCTTTTTTATCCTTCTTAGTACTCATAACTTCTTTTCCTTTTTTGTCGTATACTTTTTTCCTACTTGGGTTAATACTTATAGAATAATCTTCTTCTTCATTCCTGAGATGTTCAACATTGTCTTATGGTAAATTCCCGTAAAATTTATTCTTTTGTGTCTTCTTTTCATTCATATAACTCAGCAACTCTTCTTTTACCTCAGGTGGACACTTTTTGCAAGCTGCTGCATTCTTGAAATTTCCTACTAGATGTTGTTTTGCACGAAAAATACCACTTCTAATAGTTTTATCGCAAAATATGCAAGTCACTGCATTAGGATCTTTCGCATTCTTCATATAATTATACTTCCATGTAGGATCTTTTTTTGATATCATTGGAGACTCTATTGAGTTGCTCTGTACACTTGCCATTTATCCTGAAACCTAACAATAATTTCAAATAAATAAAAATTAACAGTATTAAAATCAAAATAATATATTATTAATCTAATAAATACAAATACATTATTGTTAACAGTATAAAGTATACTGTTAACAGTATACTTTCGAAAGAGGAGAAGAAAGATGTGTGTAAGGGAAGACCGAGGGTGCAGCGACAGCGGTAAAAGTGAGCAGCAGCAGCGAGAGTGGCGAGCGGCGACAGCGGCAACGGTGAGCAGCGGGAGCAGGAGTGGTGACAGCGGCAGCGAGCTGCAGCAGTAGTAGCGTGAACACGAGTAGGGTTAGGGTTGGGCAACGACAGCTAATATCGGTGCTTTAGTTGGTTCGATTGAACCAACTAAAGCACCGGAGACCGAGCCCAGGCGTCGGGTGCTTCGCCTCGCCTCGCCCGAGCGCTTAGGCGAGCGCCTGAGCGCCTATTGAAATCAGTGGCATATAATAACCAAGCCGCTTCACCGGAAAAAGGCCCATTTGAAGTTGTCCTCGGCTATACTCCTTGTATCCATTGACTTTGCACCCATTCCACTTAATTATCGTGCCTCTGGACTAGCCCACTCCTTCGCTTAACATATCCATGATTTGCATGTTGAGTCTAGTTTTCAATTTAGAGTCATGGTATTTTTGAATGTCCTCTATCTATCAGTGTTTATTCTTGATGATCGCCTTATTTAGTCCTCCTAAAGCATTGACTCTCCCACAATACAGGGATGACATAGAGACCATTTTGATGATCGCTTTATTACATATACTACTATCATCCCTTAGTACTTTCTTATTAAGTGACGTGATCGTCCAGCTTCCGATGCTACTTGGGTTACTTTGGAGGAACGTCGTGACTTTGCACCAGTCTTATTGGACCAGTACCTTATAGACTTCTCTTTGGGATCAAGTTCTTTCCACTGAAGGAGAACCATCTAGGTTTACAAAGGATTTCAGAAGAGGTTATTCAAGGCAAAGAAATTAGCAAAAAATCATGAATTGGTGACCTAGAAATCAAGGTTCACTTTATCGATCTAAACCGATGTGTTGGTTGGCCTATGGTATGATATGTACCGTTCGATACCGACATATCATGTGTTGGTATGGTGGGGCGTACTGATGACACGGAATATGGTTGGAAATAACTTTGAAATTTTTTAAAAATAGAAAAAAAGCTAGATTAGGATTTTTAAGTTGGAAATAAATATAAATTTAGTATAATTTTAGCAAAAAAATATAAATTAAGAAAGAATAGTTGCATATATCTTTTTTGGGCTTTGAGAAGTAGCTTTATGGTACTGTTTCAGATCATCCTTCCATTGATATTGAATTATCTACAAAGAAATGATTTAAATTGTTAGATTATTTGTTAAACAACTTAAACTTTAATATCCAAATGAATCAAGTAATTGATTAATGGATATGTCTGGTTCTACCACCAAAAAGAATGATGAGACTTCATAAGCGATGGATCGGGGTCCTCGATCCTATGTATTTGTATACTAATTTGATATGTTTGTCGGACCTAATCCTGAAATTAATCCCATAATATAGTATATCGATACATTGTATGTCATTGGTTCATCAATGTGGTGATTGTCGTAGTTTAGTCATCGTGAACCACATGTGTCCGAGGTGACTCTTGAGGCAAGTATGATTATGACATGTATTGGTGCGGAGTATGGAGAATGTTGGAACTTTTACTTTCTCCATTGATCTACTATTCTATATTATAAGATCAGTCATAGTACTGTTGCTCAGAGAGAAAAATGACCAACTATTACTGTTACTCGGAGAAGAATGACTAATTATCACATCGAGTTTCATGATCTGAATTTTAGGTGGCATATGTAAAATACTGCTCCTCGATCCATACACCTCCCTCAAACTGTGTAGATGTTACCATTGACTCTTTGGCGTTGTTGCCATCGTCGATCAAGACACTGTTGTCTACGTCGTTGCCATGTCTCTAGACTGAGTGGGTTGGTGAATTTGATTGAGAAGTTGTTTATATATCTTTGATTAGAGAGTTCTTCCTCAACTTAGATGCTAATACTTCATAATTAGTCTCTCAAGCTTGATTCAATCCATAAATTATAGCTTTGTGAAGTTTTAAGAGAGTGCAAATGTGAGAACGAGAGAAAGGAGTGAGAAAGAAATTGAGAGAGTATAAGAGTTTAGTATAAGAGTTTAAGAGAATGAAAGGGGGTGAAAGAGCGGTAGGAAATGGTTTAAAAACCCATTCAAATGGATATGACCATTGGAAAGGGTTAGATATGAGCCGTTTGTCGGTAACGATCGAAATCCGATCATTATCGACTGGTATAGGTTGAATTTTGATTATTATCGAGTGGTACAAGCCTATGTACTGATCAGTAATGGTCGGATTTCAACTGTTATCGAGTGGTACAAGCTCGTATTGGGCGATATAGAGCCTCTTAGTATAGATCATCTGGTACAAAGTGGTTCGCATGTCGGTCCCCTATTGGATTGGTATGTACCGCCCATATTGGGCGGTATCTCGCGGTACGACGATCCCTACTAGAAACTCTTAGAGTTGTGTGGAAAATTGAAGAATCTAGGTGTTAACCTTGGGACTCTGCTTTTGAATTAAGTGCACTCTTATATTAAGTGCACGCTCTTACTTCTCAGTTGTGATAAGTTTTTTAAAAACTATTTATGTCTCATAGAAGTCATATTTTGGATTTTTTAAAGTCATACAAGTTCCTAGTCACTCTTGGAATCATTGCTTTCATTGTACTAAGACTTCTAAACCCCTATAAATGGTGGAGTTTATCAATGGATGAAACACGTCAGATTTGAATAAAAACACTTGCATCTTCTCTCTTCTGTTCTCTTGTCCTCCTCTTGAATCTCACTCCTCTCTTGCTCTCTCTCAATCTCTCTCGCTGTTCTACATCAGGTGTACTGTTGTTTTCTTTTCCAAACAGTCTTGAACTGTTTTTTAAATATCTGAACAGCCTTCTTTCGACCTCGAATTGATTATCTGCCGTACATGAAGTCTTGATCATGTCATTTAGGCACAGTGAAATTCATTGGAGTATGCAAAACAGCTATATATAGGCATCACAAAAGCACACAGCTTTACTTCGCAACTTTGGATTATGTTTGAATGCATATAGATTACTGGGCCACTTTTGCCACTGAAAACTGCAATACATTAAAATTTTCTAGTCATCGTGGAATGATGATGTGTAGTTTCAAGTTTGTATATTAAATTAATCTATTGTAAAACTATGTATTAGACTATCCCTTCTTGGAACTCTGCTATAAGTAAATAAGGGGGAACATGTGTTTCCTGTATGAGACATGCTATATACTGTAAAAAATAGAGAAAGAAAAAAGAAACATGTTTATTATCTGAGACTGAGTACTTTAATTTTGCAATGCTTGTGCAGGACTCTCCTCATGTCCATGCCAATGCAGCAGAAATTCTTTGTGCCATTACTCGATGTGCCCCTCCAGCGCTTTCAGCTAAAATTTGCAGCCCAAGGTAAACATGACCTGATTTCTATATAATGTCAACTTGTTATAGAACTTGTATTGTAGTTTATATGGGTTTTGAACTTTGATCTACTCTTCATCGATGCCATTGTGCTGTCAAAAATGCAGTTATGTGGGGAGATTATTTCATCATGCGCTGGAAGATTCGAGACCTAAATCTGTCCTAGTTCACTCCTTGTCTTTCTGCATATGTTTGTTAGATCCCAAACGACTGGTAGCATCTTCCTATCAAGCATTTAGAAGCCAGCTAACTCATGGATCATTGGTTATTGCTAGTCACGAAACCGTTGAGGGCATGCTAGAGAGATTAGGTATGTTGCTCTTTTTGTTGGTGTTTTGGCACAATGCTGCTATTCGAAGATTTAAAACTTATTGTTCTTCAGAAAAGTCTAGCCTTATTAGGATGACTAAACATTTTGACTTTCAAGATATACTGTTGGATTTGTGGTACACTACAACCAACTCTAACATTGTTTCTTAGTTTTGCATTCATTGCCCATTGTTATCCTATATCATGAATTATTTTAGACTTTGAGTTATTATTTTTCACAATTTCCATCAGGTCTTCTTCAGTTCACCCTTTCTTTTATATGCCGTCCTTTTTACTCATGTTATATGAGATCTTGAGACTACATGCAATGATGGTCAAGCAACAGCAGAAGTCACTGGAAAACATGGGTCTACCATAAAGGCAGGTCTGCTCCTAAAGTGCAAGTGTAAAAGAATCTAGTTTGTTAATGAACTGGGCTTCACATATCAGAAAAGCAATCGATTGACAAGCGATTCAGCTTTCCTTTTGAAGCTTATTGGTAGTATTGGTACTGATGTGCCGATTCACATGTGTCAATAGTTTCACATGCTAGGAAGATATAGCCACATGTCAGGTTGACCGTTGCTGAAGATGCCAACATATAGTGGGGTCAACCACTATAATAGAAATGGTGTCAACTTTTTTTTTTCACTTTCTTTTTGCTTGTGCCAGCTGGCATGGTGGCATGAGATCTGATTCCTTGTGATGAAGCAACAATCTTTGTTGGATGACCTGCAAATTTTACGCTCGCCCTTTACCAAACTTTGTTTCTGAGCCAGTCTGGGGATGCAACTTAGCACCATGGTAGTTGTTTAGGTTGTTTAAATTTGGCTGAAAATCTTTTGTAGCGTTGTTGTTATTGCAAAACATAGTGTGCCCATCAAGCTAATACCATTTGTAGCGTTTAAAATTTTAAATTAAGTTCTATTTTTCCTGTACTAAGTTATAAGTGTGTGTATATATATATGTATATATATTTATGTATATATATGTATATGTATACATACATACATACATACATATATATATATATATATATATATATATTTGTGTGTGTGTGTGTGTGTGTGTGTGCTGAGCCGTCTTGATTTAGATGCATAAAGGCTTGCAGGCTAAGGATTAGTTTATTTTGTTTATTCCAAAGACCCATTGGCGAATCCCCAAAAAAAGGTTTGAGCTTCTTCTTGAAGCCATGTATGCCTCCATAATATAAATCACTAGGATATTTCTCTAAGGTCTTGAAGGATTCTAGTCCATTCTATCCCTCAGAAGCTTTTACTTGTACAATGGCCTTGCTACAATGATAAGAAGCTTACTCAAACCTCTAGGTTTAACAGGATTGTGAAGTTTTATCTGCCAATTGTCTCAAAGTGCATATATATCTAGAGGTGTTATATAAGAATATGGGTGTCATGGATGTCATTGCTCACATTAATGTTTGACACTGTGATGTATGTCTGACAATTTACTATCAGATGGTAATTTGATTACAGTTATACTGTCTGGTCAAACAATCAAACACTCTGGGTTCTGGAATGAGCGCATTGGGCTTGTCTAGAATAACTATTTCTGCAGAAGAATTGGAATCTCTTTTGTTGCAGATGGAGCATGCTTCTTCTGGTCAAAGTTAAATACTACACACACACACACATACACATATATATTACAACTTTGCCAGTCCATTCATTTTACTAGTTTTTTTAATCCAACTTCATTATAATTTTTCTTGATATTTCTTTAGCATTCATTTCAGTTTTTGTGTGTGTATACTCATTTCTATGTGAGGTTCTTCTTTGTAGATTCTTGATTGGTGATAACTGTTGATGATTTCTAAATACTTAGCTGATTTTCTTTTGCTTAACTCTACTCATTTTATGATGGATTATACACTTACTGATTTTAAAGTACTTCTTGATCTTTTATTCACCTTGATATGATTATGTTCTTGAAACCATAAAAACTTCCAGTTGCATGAAATGTTCAAACTTGCATACATGTCGTAGTTGAATGTTTTTAACTATAAATAAGATCTCAGAAGACTTCTACTGTCGACATACGTACAGTTTTCTATGCCATGAAGCGCAGATGATGTCATGCATTTCATACTTGGTCTTATAAAATAGAATTTTGACTTTTAATATTATACTCTTTTTATTCTCTTGGGAATGATCATTATGGCTTGTATGGCAAACTTTTCCAGTCGACAATAACTTTAATTTTCTCTTTATCAACTTCTGTCTCTGTTTTCTGCTCATTCAAATATGAAACAGGTGATTTACTGAAACTATTGGTTGTTTCTTCATTGGAAAGCAACTTACAGACCACATATGGCAAATTACAGCCTCCTCTTGGAAAACACCGTTTGAAGGTATACTGCTATCATTTTAATTTTCTTTTGTGAGCTCATGTTGTCAAGATTGTTGAGTACATTATGTCCCCTACTTTTTGAGTGTAGCATTGTAGTTTTTGATTTCTTAACAGTTTTCAAGATATATTTCATGTCTATTTTGGTATTATTAAATAATGAAAAATAACTTAATTGTTTGACTTTGACAAATCATCATTCTTTGTTACTTTGTTAGTATCTTGAAATATGCCTTGCCTAAAAGTTCAAACTGTATGCCATATTTATTTAGTTTTTGCCTGACTTATTTGTTTTCAGATTGTGGAGTTCATCTCTGTTTTATTGACGATTGGTAGTGAAGCTGCTGAGAAAGAACTGACCCAGCTGGGAGCAATTAAGCATGTTGTAGATTTGTTTTTTGAGTAAGTTGCACACCTGAATGACTTCTGATGCTTCAATCCACTTGAATCTTACCGTGAAAACTTTATGGAATTTGTAGGTACCCTTACAATAATTTTTTGCATCATCATGTTGAGAATGTTGTAGGATCGTGCTTAGAGAGTAAGAGGACTCTTTTAGTTGAACATATTTTGCATGATTGTGACCTTGCTGGTAAAATTATTGCGGCAGAAAAGCAAACTTCCTTGTCAACTGATTCCACTAAGGTATGGAACTTCTGTAATACCATAACTTAATAAGATAATGTTTGTGTAACAGAATGCTACTACGATGCTCAAATTATTATGTCTCATACTCCAAATGTGTCATATCCCACAAATTAACTATGTTTCATCTGATACTTGTGTGTTCCCTTTCTCAAGGATAACATCAGAATATTTATTAACAACCATGCAAGTGTAAAACTCTGTTTGCAGGCTACAATATCTGCAGAGGGACGGCTACCGCCAAGAATAGGAAATGTGGGACACATGACACGCATAGCGAACAAGCTTATGCAGTTGGCAAATAGCAAGCGCATAATCCAGACACACTTGCAGGTCAATCAGCTTCCTTATATATGTCTGTGTGTGTAATTTTTAAAAAATTCTACTTTGTCATGGTTCAATGTAATTTTTGAAAGTATTTTGGTGGATTGTGGACTTTCTTTGTTGTGGAAGTTGGAAGCTTAACTTATTTTTTAGATTTTTGTATGGTAAAATTTTTGGTCCTTGTACAGCCATTGCATATTGGGTTTGTCATTTATATGGTGTTGTTCTATAATTTTACCTGTTATAAGATGACAAAGCAATAAAATCTCCAAGGAGATTACTAAAAAAACTATGAAATATATATTAAATAAGTATAGCTTTATTAAATCTGATATTACTTCCTGCTGCTCATGCTACCCAAAGTTCTCTAGATGATTTTACTATTTACATATGCTGTGAGATCATTCTTTTTTTTGGCAGTGTGCAGACTATGCTCCATTTAGAAATCTGATGCTTGTAATTATACTGATTACCTTTTCTTCTGATCCTATACTTCATTGTTTAAAAACTTGATCCATCAGCTGGGTTTTTATTTTCAGGAAAACAGTGACTGGGTTGACTGGCATAATCACATCTTGCTCAAGCGGAATTCTGTTGAAAATGTTCATCAATGGGCTTGTGGGTAGGCTATTTCATGCTTTTTATGATTAGTCCAGGACGCTTGAACATTATTATTGTATACTAGTTTACAACCTAGAATGGCATTGATGATAAAATTTATCGAGGAACAAGTGTTCCGTATATTTTCTTCTTTTCATGGAAGATGTCTATAGGAGTGTGTGATTAATAGCAAAAAAAAGATATTGATGTAGGATAACAGGATACCTCCAAATAAAACTCTTGAATGCACATGGACATTTTGGTTGTTTTGAAGGATGCCACAAAATTTTCAAGATCCTATATGCTCTATCTTAACTTGTCTCTTTTGCCTACTCTTAATATCAAATTTCCTTAGAATGCATACTCTGTTATGTTAGCATCAAATTTCCCCGTGATTCATATTTCGTTCAAACATTTTATGTCTTCAACATAGAATAATCTGTTTTTTTTGTTATTGTTAAGTTCTATTTATCATTTCTTAGAGAAGAACACACCCTTTTCTCGGTATGTACCCATAAGTATTTATGGAACTTAATCCATGTGACAAATTTTGACTAATCGCCCTTTGCATTATGGTTGTTGTTGTATATGGTAAATGCAAACATTTCAATCAGAGCTTTATCATCATTGATCTTCCAAGGTAAATGTTTCTCCTCTTTGAAGTTTACTTGGTGGTAAGTTAACAACAAATTTTGGAAGGTTTAATTGTTATAGTTTTGGTTACTAAAGAAAATTTGCAAAATTTGGTGATGCATATTTGACTAAGAAATCCCACATATGTTTTAAGTTTCAATTAGGCACAATCATGGTTGATTATGGATTTGTGGCACTCAGAGTGTGTAGATTTCTTTTATGTGATTTTACAGTTTGCATATGGGTAGGCACTGGTTTAAAATGTAGTTGTCATTTGCATTATAATGACTTAAGCTATGATTTTATATAATAGATCAAGTGTGTACATAATCTAAGTTGAACTCAAATCTTTCACAACCACTTTTGCTGAAATTTTGTATAAACATGTGCTTGCAGATAATTCTAGAACTTAATAATCTCTATATTGCATTAGTATATTTTACTTTCGTTACATGCAATTATAATTGTATTCTAAGTTGTCCAAAGTTGGAGATAGATATTCTGAATATAGAAATTTGTAGGAGATTCACTTGATTGATGATCTAGGGCAGTCAAACCTAGTTCATCTTTGCATGGCGAGTTGTCAAAGCGTTAAGCTTCACGAAAGACCTCCATTACTTTCTTGTTTGGGGATGATTTCTTTTAATACTTGGATCCTGTAAACCGATTGCTTGTCCGATGATTATCATATTTGACCTGTTAAAGTGTATTCCAGTTTTCAAGAGTTATTCTCATTTTCATGCTGAAACTTAATGAAAGTTATGCTGTTTGGACAAACTGAAACCTTTTACATTTGTGATTACGTACCTTCATCTTGGATATTCTCTGGACGAAGTAATCCTGATATTTTTCATTATTTTTAAGGCGTCCTAGTACACTACATGACCGAATCAGGGATAGCGATGATGAGGACTTCAGAGATCGGGATTTTGATGTGGCAACACTGGCTGGTAATCTGAGTCAAACTTTTCGGCATGGAATTTATGCAAATGACATGGAAGAGGTAAACATCATGATGCATTGTAAATGTTTTTAATTCTTAAAGGTACTGCTTTTTGAATGTTTGCTTGCTGTTAAATTTCATCTGTGAATTGTTTCTTTGCTTAGATTGTATGTTATGTTTGGTTTGAATTGATGTTTCTTTGATTTCTAGATTGATCATCGAATGTGGTATCAATTGTCACTTGCCATTCTGTATGTCATTCTGTCTTTTGTCAGTGATATTTGAGTCAGGCAAACACATGCAAGGTTTTTCTTGCACTGACATGCCCCCATGCTCAGCTTTGCCTGGCATTTGGCATGGTCTAAGGTGGTGGTTGGTTCGAGTTGGCATGATCTATGCACTACTAGGACATGCCCTTAAATCGAATGTATCTAACATGCAAAGCTGTTCTAGCATGATAAACAACAAGTGTCACATCTTTCCTTTGTATAGTTTGGGAAAGTTGTTTGGTTGGAAGCACCATTCTTGTTTTCATTGGAGCTGACATTGAGACAAGCTTTCTGCATAACAATTGATATCTAAGATGCTTGTGAAGCTGATTTTACCATTCCCACAATAGTTAAATGATAAAGAAATTTTATTTCGGGATTTCTATGGTTTTGTGTATACTATTTGGATTCTTTGGCAGTGTTAATTTATCTGCTTTTGGCTGCTGGGTGCAGGCTCAAGGATCTTTTGAACGAGATGATGAGGTATGATACAATGATCACAGTCGTCATTGCCTATTTCCTTTTGCTCTCGTTATCAACTTTGGAATGATTTTCTAGTAATAAATACGACGTGAAACCTTGAAAATCTATTTTCTTGAATTTATTTGATTTGCCAATTCGACAAATGTTTCATTTCATTTTTTTACTATTTCATATCATGTGCTACTAAGATCTGGAGGAGGTAGGACAAGGTGAACTTGTCAATACTTTTCAATCATATAGTTGAATTTATGTTCGGTTTGTGCCAAAGGCATTTATGTATTATATAATTTTTGCAGGATGCTTACTTCAATAATGAGTCGGCAGAAGTTATTTCATCTTTGAGTCTTGGGGATGACCAGGACAGGTAGTTGCAAACTGAAAAACATCCACTGACCCTTTGGTTGCTTGGTATAATTTTGAGTAGGCTGATCAAAATTCTGTCTCGTGCAGCTCCCAAATTACAAATTCCGACTTATTTGCTTCTGAAAATGATAGAGGGGTTACTGATTATTCGAATGATTCTCTTGCTTCATCTCCAAATTCAAGTGAGACATCACCTCGTGTGGATGAGCCAGACAAGGTGGTTATTGGTGAAAACAAGGATCCAAGTGACATAGAAACATCTTTGCAAGTGACAGATCCTGGAGCTACCTCGGGGGAATCTGAAGCTACAATATCTGGAAATGGTCCTGTGGATGAGCCCAGAGAGGACACTAGTAACTCAACTACAAGCAAGGGTGACAAGCCCCTAGGGTGGATTGAGTGGAGGGAGACATCGAGATCTGACATGCCTGGCGTAGAGCCAACTGCAGATGTCCCAAATGGTCAGCTCAGAATGGACAAAAACATGGATGAAGTGGCAGTAGACACAGATAAGCATCGACCTTTGTCTGAAGATGCAGACGGACAAGGCGGGGAAACCGGTGTATTGCCAGGATCTACCAACATTCCCGCTGTCAAACTACCAGAGTCCAGCAAGGGTAATCCATGTGGAGATTTACCGGAGCCACTTGCATTCTCGACTGTCGAGAACACAGGGAAGTGAGATGAAGTTGAAGCACCACCCCTGCGACTGTAACTTTAGAGCCTTGTACATCTTGACGGAAAGCTCATGATGTTAAGAGGCTCATTCATTGTTCTGCCATTATTCCTTTTTACCCAGCACTGCAGCAACGAGAGAGACCACGAAGCTCCGGCAATTTCTCCTGATGCCACTTCTCTCTGTGCCTTTCTCTTCCCTGGCAAATTTTTGACATTGATTGGTGCCAATACCATTGGCATTTTTGTTGTTTCCTTAGCTTCTTTGTTGTACGCTGTGATGCTTCACGGTGGTATTACTAAATGCACGTTCATTTTATTGCAGCGGACACCCACTGTCGATTTGTTCGAGCACCTTTTTTTCTACTTTTGTCGAGTCTGTGCATGGTTACCGATGCCACTTTGTTCCTTCGTTCCTTCGTGACTGATGCATACGGAACCCAAGTACGTATAAAGTATTGAAAGCATGGACATGAGCACGGATCTTGATGCAAGACTTGAGTTGGATTCATTTGCCTCGTGGAAGTCCAAGTCCGGCCCGTTCGCGCCGGATTGGGTTCGTCGAAACCAAACCGGCCTTTCGTATATAAACCATCTCGCCTCGCGTTTCCGCTCTCCGCATCTGGAAACCCTAATCCGAAGACCATCGGACCACGTGTTGGTGGAGCTCACTCTCCGTTCAATTCTTCTGCGTGTTGTTTTCCTTACAATTATTCGTCTCTTTTTCTCACGCTTCTTTTTCTTTGTTTCTTCTCTTCTTCAGATCGAGATCGAGTTGAAGGAGATGGCCGGGTACGTTGTCCATACCCCGTACTCCCTTTTGTCTTCGGTTGATCTATTTGGACTTGTGACAAGGATTTTAATGAGCTTGTGTTTGTTTGAATAGTTATTGCTTATTTTCTGTATTAAAATGAATACTTGCAAAAAGTTTGGGGACTTTATTCTAATATCAGGCGAACACTAGTTGCTTCTACTAATCATATCTATATACTATCTCTTTGCGTCTAGTTTAGGATCTGCAGTATGAGTAAAGGAGAATGCATCTCATTAGGTTCTGCAATTTGGGTGCGTTGTTGTCATACTTGATTTTGTTTAAGTTCCTAGTCCTTTTCCCGCTCATATGATGTGTAAATTTGATAACAAGAGTGATTACTTGTCATCGCCTAAAAGCTTTTCTTGTCATGGAGAAGAATCTACAAGTAACAAGATTGATGCATGGATCTACCATCGGCCGGTGTACTAATAATAAGAGTTCATATTGAAGACCATCTAACAGCAAATTTTTGCTAGAGATTTTATTAGGGTTCCTTGTGGAAATATCTCTTTAGTTGCATAATTCTGACATACTAGGATGCTTAGGCTTGAGCTAGGCCGAAATATTGATGCAGGGATCTACCTTTGGCCACATTGTACTGATAATAACAGTCCATAGTGAGGACCACCTAGCAGCAAATTTAGCCAGAGATTAATTTAAGGGTTCCTAGTGGACATATGCTTATGGTTGGATTATTCTGACATTGTAGGATGGTTAGGCTTTAGCTATGCCAAAACCATGAGAGGGACAGTTTTTTTGACTGAACACTACTCTTCAACAGGTGTAACCTTCAACTGATAGTTGATCTTTTTCACTAATATTGTATGGCAATATCACTGCCACTTCTCTATGGAATTGGTGAATTAGTTGTTATGTTCATAGTTCTCAACATTGCAATGAGCCACTGAGGCTCCATTTTAGTTTGGTTTTGACATGGAAGTTAATTATATGCAATGTTAGTGGTTGAATTTACTGCTTAATAAGTTTAGAAAGAATTATTTATTTGTTGGATTCTTGTTTATATCAAGGTGCATGTTATGTTATTTTAACTTCTTCCATGAGCAGTAAGCTTACACCTTACATGCTGTATTCTTGCATCGTATTGACACTCTTTCCCTTTCCCTGTGGTTCTGCAGTGAAGAGGCTGAAAAAACTGCTCCAGCTCTTGGGGAGCCTATGGACTTGATGACAGCTCTCCAACTTGTGATGAAGAAATCATTGGCTCATGATGGGCTTGTTCGTGGTCTCCATGAGGCGGCCAAGGCAATTGAGAAGCATGCAGCACAACTTTGCATTCTAGCTGAGGATTGTAACCAGGCTGACTATGTCAAGCTAGTCAAAGCACTTTGTGCTGATCATAATGTGCATCTAGTAACAGTGCCAAGTGCCAAAACCCTTGGCGAGTGGGCAGGGGTTAGTATCTTTTCTTGTTTGTTGTCTTTTCTGACTTTTAACTTAGGCTGTGTTTTACTGCACATAAAAATTCCATGGAAAATATTGTTCTCTTATAGAACTTCTATTTTAATGTTTGGTTAGCAGGAAAACCAAAAAAATCTGGAGAACTGTTTTCCAGATTTCTCACAAAAGTTCTTTTTCTGGTTGTTCATCAGATTCTTTCTTTGTGAAATGGAAAATAGATCTTTCCTTATTGGCCTTTCTGTTGTTAGTTCACTCATCCTTGCATACCATGTTTTGGGCTTTCTTTCACTTTGGTCTTCAGTCACAAGAAATGGAATAGAAAATCAGTTTTCTTTAACTTTACCTACAATACAAATATTGTATAATTCTATGAAAATATCTTCTGTAACAGTTTTCCTTGCAACCATATAGTTTCTTAGCAAAAGGTGATTTAGCACCTTGATTTCTTAGCGCGTACACATATATATATATATGTATATATATATATATATATTTATATATATATATATATATATATATATATATATATATATATATATATATATATATATA